TTGTCCTCAAATCGTGTCAATAAATCGGATTCAAATCTACCGCTTCGGTGGACTAAAATCGGTGCAAATCGATATGACTTTCGTTACCCACAATATCCCCGATCATTTAATCCCCGTTAATGCAGTTCAACACTTTTCGACATTATTTATAATTTATATAAATTGTAATATATTTTAAAACGTATTCCTCTTTTAAAATGTCAAAATTGATTGTAATATTAGTTCTCAATAAAACATGGATTAATGCAAACTGTATCTGTGTTTTCACTTTTCAATAGTTTAATACTTAAGATTGGATTTAAACATTAATTGTCATACAATTTATACATTTTATAAAAATGTTTTTTATACAAAAAGGATATATTTATGAAATATTTAACAAGTGATTTAAAATTATATAAAGGAATTAAGTAATCATTTAAGTAATACTGACAATGATTTTTGGTATCACTTCTTAAGGCTTATCATTTTGCCAGATAATGCAATGATTAGGTGGTCGAGTATTTTGGGAACTCATTGGTTCATTATTTTCCATGAATTCCACATTAAATGCATTGAGAATATAGATCTGTTTGTCGATCACCTGTTCAGTCCATCGCTCAAACACATGAATCGTGTATTCAGTGCTCAGATCTAAGCCATCGATAATCATATGATTGAATACCAACACAACGGAAGTGTGGGCAACAAAATGGTTGGTCTCGTCATTAGCGACAATGCAATACAAGTAGGAAATACCTAAACAGGTCTTCACGTTCAGTAACTTCAATACCAATGGTTTGGATTCACCTCTAAAGAGAAGCGAATTTCTTTGACTGAATTCAAGTCTCGATTTCTTCATATTCTTCGCCACTTTCAAAGTCTTTGTCCCCAAACTTGTGTCCACTTTATTGTCGTTTGCATTCAATTTCTGCAATCGTTGGATGGATTCGTCCAAATAATTCACAACTGATTTCTGTATTATCTGTCGAATCGATTCCTTCCTCTCCGTCTGTTCCCCTCTTTGAGACCTAATGGGCGAAGACTTGTCGTCAACTGATGGTTGACTTTGTATGGACTTAATGGGCGAACTCGCGTCCAAAACAATGGGCACCTCTTCGTCGATCACCATATCATTCGTGCCGTTAATAACAGCGTTATCTCCTCTACTGATGGTGTCATTGGTATCAATGGTTTGAAAGATTTGCGACAATTCTCCCTCAAAACGACTCCTATGTTTGGCACTGGATTTCGATGACTTGTGGGGCGACTCTCTGCCACCGCTTGACTTCAATGACTTCAACGAACCGCTCGACTCCTGTCTTCTCATCGATGGCTTCGAGGGGCCGGACATCGAGAGGGCTGTCGGTTGCCCTCGACATCCATTCTTGGGTTGACTCACAGCTGATCTAAAGTCTTCGTCGAGAGTTATCCATCCGTCGGCCGACCACTCGCTGGCGGACACTATTTTGATGCGATCACCGAAACGGTTCAAATCCAATGGTCTGATGGCTGTCTTCGACGGCTTGCGGCCACTCTTGAGCTGTGTTTTCGGCATTTGTGTCAATCGTTTGCATCTGAAGTGCACAACAAAAACACTGCAAAACGTGAGAGTGTTTTGAAAATAACACTTATTTGAGGCCTCAGTTGCCGTCAAAAATGTCTTCAATTTGTGAATTACTTTCGTTTGAAATGCATTTCCATTTGAATCGAGGGTTGAGTTCAACGCAAACGTTATTATTGGCAAACATTTCATCAAATTTGCCACAAATTTCAATAGAAATACAGTATTAATGAGTGAATATTTATTACCATTTATATGAATAGATGTATCATTTGTTTCAATGGCTTTCATGTGATGTGAAAAGAGCACAATTGTACGACACGTTTGACTCGCTTCTAGACTTTGATTGCATTTTGTAATCAGTGCTGAGAATCACAATCAAAACATTCACTCATTTTTGCTTTCGGTTTCATTTGACTCATTCACACCTATTTATACCAATTGTTTGTCTGTTTATAACAATTCATTTCAATTAATAGTCAATGAATGCCATAAATATAGTGTAAATGCAGTGAAAGTCCATGAATTGAATGCAAATATGTTTCCCTCATTTACACTCATTATAAGCGCTATATTTACCGGTATTTCAATGTTTGCCATAAAATACACTCATTTCCTAACAAATGACAAAAACTTTTTGATTGTCTTTCAGTATATATCCTTCACTCCATTCATACCATCTATAAGTTATATAACCCTCAAGAATGTGACCACAAGACCGAGTTATGTCTTAACCCTTCCTTCACTCGCAAAGACATCTTCACTGTATGTATGAGTTGTCAAACAAATGCCATCATATGTGATGACATATGTCTTAACCGCAGCTATATCTGTGTACATCACCCGATGAGCACCCGTTGGGACACAAGTTGTCGTGTATTCACCAAAACAGTCACTTCTCGCTCATTGAAGACCACAAACTGTATTACATTTATCTCTTCATTACTGTCACGAGTTTGTCTATAATTTAATTATCTATCGGTTAGTTCACTATCAGTATCACTGCCACCGCAGACAATACGCAACGGTTCCCTATATTTGCACGCAGTGTTGACAACACTGAAGAACTACAAAGAAATCAATAGAGAAGTGATTTTACAATCGCTGGCGGACACTATTTTGATGCGATCACCGAAACGGTTCAAATCCAATGGTCTGATGGCTGTCTTCGACGGCTTGCGGCCACTCTTGAGCTGTGTTTTCGGCATTTGTGTCAATCGTTTGCATCCGAAGTGCACAACAAAAACACTGCAAAACGTGAGAGTGTTTTGAAAATAACACTCATTTGAGGCCTCAGTTACCGTCAAAAATGTCTTCAATTTGTGAATTACTTTCGTTTGAAATGCATTTCCATTTGAATCGAGGGTTGAGTTCAACGCAAACGTTATTATTGGTAAACATTTCGTCAAATTTGCCACAAATTTCAATAGAAATACGGTATTAATGAGTGAATATTTATTACCATTTCTATGAACAGATGTATCATTTGTTTCAATGGCTTTCATGTGATGTGAAAAGAGCTCAATTGTACGACACGTTTGACTCGCTTCTAGACTTTGATTGCATTTTGTAATCAGTGCTGAGAATCACAATCAAAACATTGACTCATTTTTGCTTTCGGTTTCATTTGACTCATTGACACCTATTTATACAAATTGTTTGTCTGTTTATAACAATTAATTACAATTAATAGTCAATGAATGCCATAAATATAGTGTAAATGCAGTGAAAGTCCATGAATTGAATGCAAATATGTTTCCCTCGTTTACACTCATTATAAGCGCTATATTTACCGGTATTTCAGTGTTTGCCATAAAATACACTCATTTCCTAACAAATGACAAAACTTTTTGATTGTCTTTCAGTATATATCCTTCACTCCATTCATACCATCTATAAGTTATATAACCCTGAAGAATGTGACCACAAGACCGAGTTATGTCTTAACCCTTCCTTCACTCGCAAAGACATCTTCACTGTATGTATGAGTTGTCAAACAAATGCCATCATATGTCATGACATATGTCTTAACCGCAGCTATATCTGTGTACATCACCCGATGAGCACCCGTTGGGACACAAGTTGTCGTGTATTCACCAAAACAGTCACTTCTCGCTCATTGAAGACCACAAACTGTATGACATTTATCTCTTGATTACTGTCACGAGTTTGTCTATAATTTAATGATCTATCGGTTAGTTCACTATCAGTATCACTGCCACCGCAGACAATACGCAACGGTTCCCTATATTTGCACGCAGTGTTGACAACACTGAAGAACTACAAAGAAATCAATAGAGAAGTGATTTTACACAGAAGCACATCCACTGCCACCACATCTCTCACCAGATATGCCTTAAAAGAGACCAAAGCCTTCAATTTGCTTAACAGACAAACAGAAGATCCAAATGAAAAGCCGTCGAAGAATAAGAAGTTGACTGACCGTCCCGTCACTCATTGGAAACCAAAGATCACATTAAACATCATTTCAGAACCTCTTTCGCTGTCCAGACGAGCCCTTCCCGGAGAGATCGCACACCTCTTGAAGTAATTATTGATTATTTCATAAAATAATATCTGATATCTGATAAAAAATACAAGTTTTTCAAAACACATCTAAAATGTCAATTGAATTAAACTTTTTCTCAAATATAGACTCAACGAAAAGACGGAATATTTGCCGATTGTATACATCAGTGAAGTTAGACAACGACTCAAAGAATTATGGGTTTGGGTTTTGCTCTTTTAGTAGAGTATCCTTTGAGTTAATTATTACTTTTTATGAAACCAATAGCCCGTCAATGAGACGAATCCAGTGATGCCTTTGGAAGTGGTTTATGAGCCGACGTCTATCGGAAAACTCAGATTTATGATAATCATTGAGTCGTCGCTCAAATCAATGGCTAAAATGGGTTTCACTGAATCGGATTCCGATGACATTAAAGGCGTTTTCTTCGACACAAATATTTATTTATTACTTTTGACTATTTTTGTCACTTCATTCCATGTAAGACACCATTCCTGTCAACTCTATATACCTTATAATCCATACATTCAATAATTGTCTTGGTTTCAGGTTTTGTTTGATTTCCTGGCCTTTAAGAATGACATCCAGTTTTGGAGACATCGAAAGTCAATGGAAGGCCTGTCTTTCAGTTCTCTTCTATGGAGATGTGTTTCACAATTTGTGATAACTCTGTATCTGTTGGACAACAAGACCTCGTATTTGGTGTTAATTCCATCAGCAATAGGAACAGTGATTGAATTGTGGAAACTTAAGAAAGCCTTAAAAGTAGAGATCAAAGGATTCAAACTTTCATTCAAAGGTCGGACTGAGGCTGAAAAGCAGACCGATTCGTATGACTCGACTTTTATGAAGTATTTATCACTCTATGTATTGACACCACTCGTGATCGGAGGCGCCGTTTACTCCATTCTATACACACAACACAAGTCCTGGTATTCTTGGGTTAGTATTAGAGACATTAGGCTTTTTATATGGAAATTTATGTGGTCTTGTCTGTCGTTTACATTACATTAGTTGATCCAAAGCGCAGCCAATGGTGTCTATGCTTTTGGCTTTTTATTTATGTTTCCGCAACTGTTTATAAATTATAAACTCAAGTCTGTGGCACACCTGCCGTGGAGGGCATTCATGTATAAGGCGTTCAATACATTTATCGACGATTTGTTTGCATTTCTAATTACATCACTTCCGACGGCCCACAGAGTGGCAGCATTTCGTGATGACGTGGTGTTTGTCATATATCTCTACCAGCGCTGGTATGTTTCACTGCTCTATAATCTTATCGTTGAGCCTATAATCCCTAAATCCAACTATTCTTTTATTCCTTGGAATTAAATTAAATTTTAATGAATTCTTTTAAACATAAGATATTAATCCTAAGGCTTAATGTATTTCCAATATTTTATACCTAGGTTGTATCCGGTGGATCAAACTCGAGTCAATGAATTCGGCGAAAAGGCTGAAGATTCCGAACACAAGAAAACTAATTAATTAATCGTTTTTTAACTTATTTTCATAACGTCTTTCAGTTTATATTTGAAAGTATTTTATAAATTTTAATATTATAAAGAATTATAAAAATTTTGCCTAAAGTTTTATATATGAATGTTTGTATTTGTTATAAAAATAAGTATTAAACGAATAAATTTACATTTTGAGTACAACTTCGGGTATGATATTTAAAAAATTTAATTTTGAAAACAATATTTTATTGGATAAATATATTGAAATGAAAGTACAGATTAATAATATAAAGACATAATTAGAAAATATACGTTATGACAGAATTACAAACCAATTTTGACACTTTGTTTCAATTCTATTGAGCTTTACATTGGCTTTCATGGAGTGTCACATAATTTCCTGATTAGTCCTAAAACAAGAATCTGTTTGAAAGGATTCTCTAATCAAAAACATTTATCGCTACTATTTTTGACAAAATTAAATTCAATTTATATCTATATTGTAAGTAAAAAAGTTGGTTTAAGTGGAGTTTGTGTGTTCGGGTAATAAGTCAAACAAATAGAGTAATTGAATGCAATTATTGATCGTATTTTGAGACTTATATTTGAATTGTGAGGAAAGAGACGAACCTTTTGATGGGAAATCATAATTTCTATACAAAATAATCAAATGATTTGCCATTAAGTTCTCGACTCTTATATCTCATGTCTAACTATAAGTTATTGTTTAATAAATGTCATATTAATTAAAATAATTAATAAAAATTTCAAAACTCACAACCATTTAAGTAGTTTTTATATATTCGTTATATAATAGACTTAATAATCATAAAAGCAATGCATTTATTGATTCGATGAACTCATGTCACTGTCAGCCAAAAAGCATTTAATAATATATAGGACTTTATAAAAGTCACAAACTTTTTTAAAGTCTTGGAATTGAAACTAAACTCAAAATACTTTAAATTTCTACTCTTTGGATATAAGTTTCAATAAATGTTTAACTATATAATCAATCCTTTCTTCGGAATATCTTCTTTAATATGGAAATTGGATTTCATCTGAAAATAAATATAAACTTCAATTAGTTTTCAATCATTAATATAATTGTTATTCCGATTTATTTATTCCATTTAACATACTACTATAAATAAATTTATAAATAAGTTAAATAAATAAATTATATACAATAAGCAATTTAACAGACAATTATCTAATTATAATATTTATTTTATATAGAATAAACATATATTCTTAATGCTAATAAAGTTTTATATTTTTAGATCAAAATAATGAAATATATTTCCTATTATACTTATACTATAGAATAATTATTTTGCACTTAAAAATTAATCTTTTCTAAAAGAATTTATACCAAACAATATCCTTTTAAGACTATTCAAATAATTTGCTTATTTATTAAATGGCAACAACCCAACTATTGCTTTACATTTATTTTTATTGTTTCTCTTAAATATATTATATATAACTTAATATTATGGGTTAGCAATTCTATACACAATATTATTTTATATTAAGGCTATTATAAGACAGAATGTCGCCTCCATTCTCTCTCTCTCTCACTCTCTCTCTCTCACACACACACACCCTCACTCACTCTCTCTCTCTCTCTCTCCTGAATAGTTTTATTTCTTTTCTCGAATTGCATTCAAAATATAACTCATTTTATTTTATTTCTATTTAATGCGAATCCTCTTAACAAGAATAAGACAGATAATCAGCCAAAAGGGCAAAACTAAAGACCTGTCCATTCAATGCACTCATACAGACATATGCCTAATGCTTAACAAGATATACGATCAAACATTTCCTCCTAAAACATGTTCTTATTATTTGCAGAATCTTTTCAATCAATACATGCCATCAAAACATAAACATCTAATCTATTGAAATATATTTTTCAAATTTACAATTAAGTCACCCCTCAGTGATTGGTGAACTGACCTATAGATGAAAGAGTTTTGCGAATTAATTGTCCACTCGTTTGCCACTATCTAAGCGTCACTCACCCATCCGTGTCTGTCGTGTATTTTGATTACATTCCTGTCAATTAAATAAAAGCCACAAAATTAAACCATCACTTTATCCCATTCAATACATTCAATCCATTTTATGTCTATTTTTAGCATTTTTCACCCATTTTTCGTTTGCTTTCATTTAATAAATTAAATATTTATTCATTAAATATTTGTATGAGTGTATGAAACTTTATTTAAGCATATTTTCCAATCAATGCTATGATTTAAAGACAACTATTGATTGAATGAATGTCAGAATTCGTGTTTTGGATTATTGGAGTAATTCAATAAAAATACGATAAATGAGTGCTTCTTCACTGCTTTCATTGTATTGATTGAGAAACTAATTAACTTTCGTTCACTTTATTCAACAAATTGAGTGATTCTTCTTATAACTAAAGCTTCAAAACATTGAATTAAACGCTAATTCTTAGTCCACATCTTATCTAACATTATCTGAACGTATTTGCCTTTAAGTGAAATTTGGCTCAAATTAATTTTTATTTAATTACATCTAAACTAACAAAGTATTAATGTTTTACTACCGTATTCTACTAAAAATATGAGTTATTTTTTAAGAGATTAAAGTGTCTTTATGTCAAAAACAGACAATTCTTTCAAATGTGAATTCTTTGTTCATTTAGATGTTAAAGCAAATAAGTTTTCATTCATATTTAAAATTACAATTTGCTATAATCTGTATAATAAATTATTAAAATTCTATTCCACTTTACAATCTTAGATTTACAGCAATTAAAAGCTTTTAAACTTCAAAAATTTAATTAATTCAAAAATATGAATCGAATAATTAGCGTAAGATTATAATAATAATTTAAATAGTTTCATATTTAGCACAAATAATTTTATATTTTAAAAATTAAACCATTTGTTTCTCTATCTAAAGTTTAGATTCTAAACTCTCTCTCTCTCTCTCTCTCTCTCTCTCTCTCTCTCTAATGGTGTAAAGGCAAAGAATATTTTACAATTGAACCTTAAATTTTTTAACTTGTAAGATGAAAAATGTGATTTAGCCATTTAGGACCTTTCTATCTTTTATTTGAAAGGTTATCAAATTTACATTATAAAGTATTGGACGTCTAATGGTCATACATCACACATTGTAAACTAAATTTTAGATAGTATAGGTTTTAGGATAGACTTGGGACTAAAACTGAGCTCATATAATAAAGCATTTTATTTTGTAAAGTATTTAATAGAAATTATTACTGTATATTTTCTAAATGTGTGTATTTTCTAAATTAGCATATTTTATGTATCTAAAGTTTACAGTCTAAACTATAAATTTTATGGCTATCAAAAAAATAATTTAAAACTGAAAATTTTTAATTAAGAATATCTTTCATCAGGGAATTGAATGACAATAATTATAGTAAATAATAGGAAACCGTATTCTATCCATAAATCAATGAGTAATAAATGTCTAAAAATCTTCTCGTATTTCGTTTTATTTAAACTATTTTGCGATCAATTGTTGAGATATTTTACTTGAAAATGAAATGAAAAATATGCGAATTTTAAATGAAATGGATTTGTTGTCAAACGAAAGGGAAAATAGGCATCGATTTGAGGATGTGTTACACGTATTCACATGAATACCTGAACGAGGCTTCGGCTAATTTCTTGCTGAACTCCTTGGTGTTGCCTTTCGTGCGTTTGATCCTGGCCTGACCCTTCACAAAACTGGCACATAATTGCATTATCACCGCTTCCATCGTATA